TATGAGTAAATCAAAGCTCAAAGTGTCAGATGTGTGCTGCTCACCTTTAACCTCCAGCTGTATCTTTCTGAGAGCAGCTCTGTAACTTCCTTCATGTGTTTCCACTCCACACCGGTAGACACCAGCATCATGTGAGGACACGTTACTGATGGACATGCTGAAGCTACTGTTGGTTTCTGTGAGAGTGAATGTCCCGTTTGACTTCAGAGAGGATTTTGTTGATAAAATATCCTCACAGATTGAACCGTTCTGTTTGCAGAAGAACTTGTATTTGTTTCCTGTGTAATCATGTGATGGTGGTTTTAGCTGTTCTGTACGCAGTTTGATTAAATTGTCTCTGGCAGCCGTCTGTCTCTGCAAATAAACAAGAATATCAAATGTGAAACTGAGATACTGTTCTAACACATGATGGAAATGCACATCACTACACTCATACAGTATGTATGTCAAAATACTTTGCATTAAGTTCTTATCATTTTAATATGTATATATATTAAGCGCTGGATCCAAAGAATGTATTGGAATGAAAAGTGTCTCTTACCAACGTCCAGTTTCACTTCCTCTGTGTCCTGGGATGAGTCCGATCGTTGGTGAAATTTACACTGATAGTCCCCAAAGTCCTCACGTTCAAGTTTTAATGGCCACTCTGAGATTTGTATTTTTTGGATCATGGTACAGGGAAACTCTGCCTTTGTTTTCCCACACATCCTTCTCAGAGCTACGTATGGTTTCTTTGGGAGAACTACATCAATACTTTGATATTTTACATTTGGTTTTGGATATTTGCAGGTGAATTCAATCCATCCTAATGCACATCCCTTCACTTCAGACAAGGCCTCACAACCTGTAGATCAAAGACAAAGTTCACAACATGTTAGACACTGAAACGATGTGACAGATCATTCATCTGAATTAGCTTTCTGTTAATGAAACAAACACTGTTTCTTGTATACATTTGCAGGATCTGTCAGCAGACAGCTCTTTGAATCAGTGGATCACAGACATTCAATGCCCAGTTGCACGTTTCTTTTAATTAAATGATTTTGACCTTTACTTTTACACACATAATGTTATATATTACAAGTTATTAAAGTTACCCACCTGTTAGATAATTGTGAAGCACATTTTAATATAATATCATTATAGCATTACATGTCACTTTAATTTGAGCTCCTTCTACCAATTTTAAGCAGTATACAAATATTGAATACATGGTTTAGAACACACTTAATGTAGTCGTAAGCTGCTATGAGGACATTTTAATAGTATCTGTCAGCAATTATATTTTTTCTTATTTAAAAAATATTTTATATAATTGCAACTGTGTTAATATTCTGTCATTCATCATCTGTTTACAATCCACTTTTGAGCGCCCACAGGAGGGGCTATACAAACACGTAAGTGCATTGCTGAAAGTGGAGTCTAAACCTAAATCTAAAGCAACACGTGAACAGCCTAAAATATGTAAATATGTAAAAATATATGTCTGAAAAGCTGATTTGAGCAAAAGAATAATTTCCTCTGTTCTCCCATCCAAGCCCACCTCCCCTTCTGTTTCTTTGGCAAGTATGTCTCTTAGAAATTATGTTAATTTGTTAACTTACGTTCGGGAGCAGCGCCACACCAAAACCACACCCCTAATCATCTGACAAGTCTACCTGTGCTACTCAGCTCTCAGCCAAGTTTGTCTCTGATTGCTCGACCCACCCTCCTTTCCCTTCCTTTCACCCCCTCATCCCCTCATCCGCTCAAATCTCTAATGTCTCATCTAGATACCGTCTGGTGAAACCCCTACTCTGACTCATACATCCTCCCAGACCAGCCCATTAGACGGCTTCTTCTACCATCATCCTTCCCCTCTACATCCATTTATCCATCCGCACATTCAGATTCATTAAACCTTTAAATGACATATTGTTGTGGCATGGTCCTTGCAAATGAAATTGTTTATATACTGATCTTGAGTTTTTCCAAATATGTTTTAGATGCTACGAGATAACATTACAAGGGAGCTGGCTATTTAAAAAAACCCACATGAAATGTTGTCAGTGAACACCTTGTTATTGTTTATTCTCTTACCATTACTGTACTGTTGTTTACAATCCTGCTGTAACATTTGTTCACAAAACGATAAATAATTCTCTTATAGCTCGACCAGAACTGGATTTTGAGGCTGAGACAGATTTCAGAGTACTGTATTGAGGGCTGTATTATATTAAACTAATACAAAATGAGAATAACCCAAACCAGACCAACCTGTTAATTATTTCAGAAGCAGAGCTGTAACAAGTGTAATCTCTAAGATCAGTAGTCCAACAGCAGCAAAAGTTTTACCTGTCATCAGTGAGAGGAAGAGAAGAAGAAACCTCTTCATCTTGTTGGACGCTGAGATCCTCCAGAAGACAAGTTTTCCCTTCTTGGTTGGTCTCCACTCTCTGCACAGCTCTATTTCCTGAAGTTATATCTTTTAATACCCAAAACTGCTCCTCAATATTTTATCTTCCCATTTTATCTTTCTTCTTTAAGTCGCCTCCCACTTTATACATTACTTCATTAAACAGCAAATAGGAAATGACTGTAAAGAGAGAAAATACATCTTTCCTGTTTGTCAGTGCAGTCAACAGTTATAACTCATACAAACAGCACAATTTAATGGGTCCAACCTCATCATTATTCATGATCTGGTTTTAATTAAATCAATCAATCATAAATTGTGTTTCTGCAGTTTCAAAGTAAAACCTGTGGATGTTTAACCTTTGGGCAGCAGTAGCTGTGGGGCCTGGCTTGGGAACCTGAGAGTGGTTCCGGTCTTAAGGATGCAGCCGGGGGAAGCTGCCAATTCAACTCATAATTCTCTGTATGTTCATCACTACGAACAACACCTTTCATGTTGTCTTCGTATAAAATATAGTTTTTAGCCTCTTTAATGTATGATTTCCAAGATCATACATGATACATTCCAGGGAACCTTTATTTTTAACTTCAGATAGTGTTCAGCCTGTTAATGGCAGAAGATACAGCTGTTTTAACCAGAAGCTGAAAGCTTCACATACAAATGTGGGAACAATAGTTGTGATAACTGTGGAAGATGTCTGTTGTCACGTCTCTAACTACTTTTTTTAAGCTACATCTATCTCTGGCTATGAGACATTCTCACCATTACACAGAAGAGCTATTTAAAACCAACAGGCTGCAAACCACAGACCCATTTATGTCCCTACTTACAACCAAGCCTCGAGTTTGGCTGTTTGGAGTCATCGTTCGATTGCAGGTTTAAGTTACTTCCAGGTGGCCTCACAGAGCTGATAACTCATAAACAGGTTCTCATGATCAACTTTGATTGTTACAGTATTTCAAATGAATGAATTTGTTGATTTCATTGATCTTATGGCTTTTGATATATTGCAGTAATAGTACATTACATTTACATTTACTTATTTAGCTGACACTTTTATCTAAACCAACTTTTTCAAGTAGATCTGCAAGTCAGAATCTTTGGACATTTATTGTTCACATAAAATCTGTTTATTCTCTATGGATCTATGCTGTTTTCTATGAAGTTCATTGACACTTTTCAGACTATGTGGTATGAATAAATCATCACTATTGAATCATGCTGAACATCCTCAACCAGATGATCTCCAGTGGTTGGCTCTAGTGTCTGCAGATTGGTGTTTCATTCTATTTTAGGTCATTAAAAAAAAGCACCACCCCTAATATGATTTTTTCACTGTTAACAGAGCCTACATCATAAGGGACATCACTAAATGACAGGAAACTGAGCGAATGGGGCGATTTAAATAGAATCTAAAATATTCAGCATGCTAACTGTATAAATAAAAGGTGGAGGAAGTTGACAACAGAAATTTGAAGTCTTTGCCTCTTTTGTGGAGCACCATCCAGGCACGCGGGAAGACATTTTCGCTTGGGGGTGCTGCAGAGTAGAAATGCGCGCATTCAAAAGTTACGCAGTTACAGTAATTTATTGGTTTTTGCTGTAATGCAGTTATGTAACTCATTACTAAAAATAAACTGGTTATATTTTACCTTTTACAATTTCAGTAACGCACGTTACAACTCATTTTAACCCGAAGTTAAGTGATTTTTTAAATAATTCAACAACACCTAGAAACATTTTGGCACCAGAAAAATAAATCCACGAGTAAAAGAGTAACGTTATTTCCTGTTGCGGAAATCTGATGGTCGAGATTGAAGGCAGAGTGCAAAATATGGGGGAGCTCGGCTCCTCTTAACAATATGTTAGCTTCCCTGATTGATCATTCATAAATAGATTTCTAGAGGCTATGTGTTTGTGCTTTAACTAATTACTTTCATGATCAGAGCTGCTGTATCCTGCTCTACCTCGTACGTAAATGCGCACAGCGTCTTTCTTAATAGGGAGACGATTCATCCTATTTCACCCTGCCACCTTCCCTTCAACACAGAGTGGTTATGGTCGTGTGAGGTCACTATGGTCCGTCTTTATAGGTGTGTACATATAAATAAAATCATTCGAATAAAAACCATTGATAACACGATCAACTTTAATGAAAGGCATGCAGGTGCAGCTGATTATATCATCGCCACCATCATTTCAGCTTGAAAAACTGTTCCACCCTCAGTGTCCACACTTGGGGAAACACCTGGAAAGTTAAAAGGGCCGGTATAGGAGGGATAAATCTGAGAAAATAATTAGTTGGGTTGGGGGCCTTAGGATGATTTGTGCATAAATGATTATTAAGATATTGTCAGAGCCGATCCACGCATCATACCTGTGTAGCTATATACCTATATACAGAAGCAATGAGCGAAACGCGTTACTCACAAATAAAGTAGTAAGTCAGATCAGTGTCTCTTCAGCAAGTGTTCCTCTTCTGCCACAATGACGACCCAGGGTTAGGGTTACAATTTTGGATTTATTCATGCACTTTAAAAACAATAATTAAAATGTTACAAATATCATTTAATTTTTTGTAATTCACTGTGTGAAGGTTTAGACTTTTATTTTTATTTTTTACCGTAACGCCATCTGGTGGTAATCTGGCGTCAAGATTGACACTGTGAGAGATGGAACTGCATGCTGCCCACTTTTTTCAACAATACTCTTTTCTACAGAAAAAAACATGCCATCAAAATACAATGAAAGATGCAACAATCACATAAAAATGTAGTAACTTTAGCATGCTGAATATCTTTGATATTAATTTTCTATTTAAATATATTGCTGTTATACCAGTGATAATTAACATTTAAAAAAAAATTTGATACTGTAAAATTGGCACTACGGAGTATGAATCACAATACAACTCATTTTAGGCTGATGGGACTGTCATTAGTTGTACATATATATATTTGGTCAAATTATATATTAGACATCCTGAGGGGGACATACGGTAAATGCCTGAATCACATTTCATGGCAATCCATCCAAGAATTGTGGAGATTTCAAATTTCAACCTCAACGTGGCTCAGATCAAACATAATTATTTTAACATTTCTTGTTACTCATTGTCTAAAACAAACACCACCAATGTACAGTCAAGGATCAACTTTTACAGAGGAGCAATAGAAAACATTGTTACTAGAAACACCAACTGGCATTGGGATGTGCACAGCCCAGGACCGGAGGGCTCTGCTGCAGACGATTATCACCAGAAATGACCAAAGATGAAAGCTACAAAAAAACAATAACTTCAAGGCAGGAAAAAGAAGTCATGTATACTCACTACAAGTCATATGTAGTGTCTGCTTTGGCTTTTTTACACATCACTTCCTCCAAAGATGGAAATGTTGTGAATGTGGTTTTCTTTGTCCAGAATGTGTTTTTCTGCCAACCGGTTATTACTCATGTGTTTGTAGAAAAGGATCAAAATTAGGACAAGCAGCAGCAGCAGTGCAGCTACACAGACCAACACATTAACGACCACCTGAGAGCCACCTGCAAGATAAATCACAAACTAAATATCCAGACTTCTTTAAAACACTGTCAACATGGCTCAGTATCATCCAGAGCTGTCTGTGTTGAAGTCAATTACAGAAAATGATTTTTTTTTTCTTGTGTTCTTTAAATGTGAAAATCCTGGCAGGAAGAAAAGGAAGAGAACCAAAATTAAATAAACAAGCAGAAGGACATAACGTGGATTCATTTCACCACTTTTCATCAAATTGAGACAAAGTTTCTCTACCAAATCTACCTGCACTGTCCAGGTAAGTTACACTCTGGACTTTGTATTTTCCAGTGTGGTTTCATGGAGTAGGACCTAACCACTGTGTATCATCAAAAATGAGCAAAGATGAAAGCTAGAAAAAGCATCACATTCCAGGCATGAAAAATACATCATGTCTATCCACTGCTAACATCATATAGTCTGTCTGCTTTGGCCTTTCTAGTCATAACCTCCACAGAGTGGAGCTGTTGTGAATGTGGTTTACTGTTTATATTATGTGTGTGTTTCTTCTGCAGAAAACTCTTACATTTGTAGATGAGGATCAAAATTAGCACAAGCAGCAGCAGCACCACACCTACAATGACCAGCACGGTAATGATGAACTGAGAGTCACCTGCAAAATAAACCACAAAATAAATATCCAGACTTGTTTAAAACACATTAAACACGGGTCATTATCATCCACATCTATCTGTGTTGAGGAATTTAAGAGACATTTACAGTTTTTAAAATATTCTGCTCTTGCTCTTCTGCAGCAGAAGGTTTAAGACAGGAGTGTTTCCAGGCTCTTGAAACATTGGGGGCTTTGCACTGCTCAGAAATCTTTCATGTTTTCGGGGGGGACGGTTGAAAGCAATCCCAGTTGACATTGGGGCGAAAGGCGGGGTACACCCTGGACAGGTCACCAGTCATATAAATGCATTTATTAAGGTTTTAATAATTGCTACAGACAATAATTAACTCTGAGAATGTTAATTAGGGAGGGCCTGGGGGTCCTCCCCATGGAAAATTTGTGCTTTAAACACATTTTCTGCACCAACTTAATGAAGAAAGGTCTTTATTTATATAGGCTGAAACAAAACACAAAATTCAGGCGACAATTCAAAATAAAAAAATATAGTATAATTGAATGCAGTAAAGCTCTGAGGGATTCTGTATTAACAGTTCTCATTTAATTTAATCCCTGCTGAGTTTAAATACATGCAAGCATGCCAGAAGTAGTAAAGTGTTTTTAAATGTGCATGTGGCACATTTTCACCTTGATGATAAATTAGCTTAATTAATTTGAATTCAGTTAGAAATAAAATCTACCTGCCCCTCTGCTGTACATAAACCTGCGCTATTAGTCTGCTGATATGGTCGTAGGTTACCCCCTTTAGACCATGTGACCGAATCTGAAAACACTGTGATCAGACAGAAATCTCACTACACATCTACACAGAGGTTAACTTCAGCACCTCTGATAAAGTGCAGTTCACAGCTGCTTAAGTTAGAAGCATCCTGGAGCAGAAAGACAATCAAACAGAGCAAAGTGAGCAAGGGGGACAGAGACAGGAAAGAGAGGGACAGGTGTCCGTGTTGAGGTCAGTTGTGTCATGTTAGTCTTTGCTACTTTGCAGCGACCAATTGTGTAGCAAATACATTGATTAGACACAGACTGACATCTATATTTAAAGGGACCTTTCAGTTGTCGCGGAAAAGCCCTCAGGCTGTGAGAAATGCTCTCTCTCTCTCTCTCTCTCTCTCTCTCTCTCTCTCTCGTACACATTGCGAGTAGCCTCCGTTCTTTGAAGACCTGACCTGAGACAGGCTGTGTCATGAGGATTACTGCCTATTAATATGGAAAATATTTTTATTGCTGTTGTTGAGTTACATTCGGGGCTACAGTCAAAACATCCGGGGCTAAAGCCCTGGAAAAATGACCTGGCAACACAGATGGTTTAAGATATCAAACATGTTGTCTTACCTGGTCTCTCTGCAGACACAGTAGTTGACTGGGATGAAGAAGCAGGAGTTGTGGTTGATGTTAGTGATGCTGAAAAAAATAAATAAAAACATTGTAATTTGGTAAGAAATTAGACAGAAGCTCCCTCAGAGCAAACTTAGAGTTTTGTTTATTTATTTACTTTATTTTAACGTGAACTACTCGCAATGAAACATTTACCAGTCAGTTAAATTAGAAGAAGTTAGAGTCTACACAAGAATATTTTTTGGGATGGGATTGTTTATGTATTTTATTAGAGTTTTCCTGCGGGAGGAGCTCAGAGTTTACTTATTTTATTAAATTATTAGGGCTGGGCAAGTTAATGCGTTGTTATTGCGTAGATTAATCGCGATTAAAATTTTTAGCACTCTAAATGACCTTTTAACTAGCTCTGGGACACTACTACTTTATTTTTATATAAAAACTGGACAAAACTGGACATTGCTTGGAGAAATGAAAGCAAGGAAGTTGAACCACCTGGTGAGTTCAGAAAGTATTTGTCTGTTACATTAATCCAGCTGAAGTACTGTGCTGTTAACAATTTAGCATAGCATAGACCTGATTGAACTGAACTCCATTCAGAAAAAAAAAATATTAAAGTTGTTGTCCTGCTGACTTTGCTGACAGACCTCACAAAGCATGAATTCTTATGTCTAACAAATCTGCATCATATTGTAATTATTTCGGCATCAGTTTGATCTGTTTATTGCAATAAATCACACCAAAATGTTTACCTTGGGTTACAGCTGGAGTAATCGCAGGTTGTATTTATTCGCATTATCGCGTGTGTGTGTGTGTGTGTGTGTGTAGTCCAGCAATAAAACCACTGGGAGGAAAGCGTCCCAAGGATTAAATTTGCGTTTGGTCTGAATGTACAGTAAGTGTCTGGGTCCTAAACCCAAGAGTAGTAAATTCCTGGAGTTGTTGTTGGTTCAACCAAGGAAGAGGGCCAAAGCCCATCCCGACAACACTGGTCAACTGCACGCCCTCATTCTGAAAGAGCCGGCAGGCGGAAACAGCGGTAACCCAACACCTGCCAAAGAGGGCCCCGTCAAATAGAGGAGACAATGGATCCCAGGCTGAGCGCTTGCCTGCTCACCAGGGGAGCCACGCCCCCCACCCCAGGCCAGGCAAGGCGGACATCCACAGATCATGGCTTAATTCATTAATCATTTATTCAGTCATTACTATGACTCACTTCTGCCATCCATCAGTAACCCTCCTACACTCTGAACCAGAGTCAGATTACAGCTACACAATAAAATAACATCACTCACCTACAGTCATCACCAGTTTGTGGAAGAATTTGTTGCTGCCTGTTTTGTCAGTGCTTTTTACTCCACACCAGTACGTCCCAGTGTCGTCTGTTGTTACTTCTCTCACTGTTATGGTGACATTTCTCTTGTTTTTGTCCTCCTTCATGGAAAACTTCCCAGTGTTCTTGTTGCGCTGTGCGGTGCTTACTAGAGTTTCACATATAGATGGATCTTCTCCCTTACAGATGATTTTGTTTATTGGAGCACCATTTGGGTATCGACACCAGTATGTCAGATTCTGGCCAACAGTTAGAAACTTTGTGACTTTAGTAATAGTAGCTGTAGACAGACAGACAACATTGTCTATCAATGACTGTACAACATATTTCAGAGACACCTTAATTATCTGTGTGAGTAAATCAAAGCTCAAGTGTCAGATGTGCTCACCTTCAACCTCCAGCTGTATCTTTGTGAGAGCAGCTCTGTAACTTCCTTCATGTGTTTCCACTCCACACCGGTAGACACCAGCATCATGTGAGGACACGTTACTGATGGACACGCTGAAGCTACTGTTGGTTTCTGTGAGAGTGAATGTCCCCTTTGACTTCAGACAGGATTTTGTTGATAAAATATCCTCACAGATGAAACCGTTGTCTTTGCAGAAGAACTTGTATTTGTTTCCTGTGTAATCACATGTGATGGTGGTTTTAGCTGTTCTGTACGCAGTTTGAATAAATTGTTTCTGGCAGCCGTCTGTCTCTGCAAAAAAGAAAGGTACAACGCGTCACGTTTTAGATGGTCTAACACTGTGATAATGTTCTAACACATGATGTAAATGCACATCACCACACATACAGTAAAGTGTGAATCATGTTACATCTGCTTTTAATGGAATTTGTTCTTTTTGGCAATTTTATTTCCATTTTGGTTTTAATGAGTAGATGATGACTTAAATATAAAGTGACTGTACTGATTGTGTAAGTCCAGTCAAAATACTTTCATATTATAATTGGAATAATGGCACCAAACTTGACATGTATGAAAGCTGAAGTCAAGCTGTTATCAACAATGTATTAATTGATATGTGACTCTACACATAAAAACAAACAGAATATGTTTCTGAAATGGCATTAAATTCATTAGATTTGTAAGTGTCTCTTACCAACGCCCAATTTCATTTCCTCTGTGTCCTGGGATGAGTACGATCGTTGGTGAAATTTACACTGATAGTCCCCAAAGTCCTCATGTTGAAGTTGTTTGATGGCCACTCTGAGCTTTTTGTTTCTTGTATCATGGTACAGGGAAACTCTGCCTTTGTTTTCCCACACATTCTTCCCAAAGCTTCGTATGGTTTTTTTGGGAGTAACTACATCAATACTTTGATATTTTACATTTGGTTTTGGATATTTGCAGGTGAATTCAACCCATCCTGATGCACATCCCTTCACTTTAGACAAGGCCTCAGAACCTGTAGATCAAAAACAAAGGTTCACATCATGTTAGACACTGAAACGATGTGACAGATCATCTGATTTAGTTCCCTATTAATGCAACATACACTATCTGTTGTAAACATATTTTTAGCATCTGTCAGCAGACAGCACTTTGAATCAGTGGATCAGAGACTTTCAGTGCTCAGCGGTCTCCAATATCTGCCCAGCTCTATATCCTGAAGTTATATCTTATGAAAGCTAAAAACTGTGCCCCAATATTTTGTCTTTCCCTTTTTTCTTCCTTCTTTAAGTGTTAATCACATCTCTTCCCATTTTATACATTACTTCATTTCCTGTTAAGTCCCTAACACACTATGAAATATTAAATGTCAGAAAGAAAGGTCAATGTAACAGTTTTAACATACTGTATAAAAGCTACAAACTGTGAATGAGTGCAACCTCATCATTATTCATGATCTGGTTTTAATCAAAGTAAATTGTGATTGGGAGGGAAACAAACCAAAAACACAAAATGTATTAAAAGAACTTTATAAAATGAAATATATGACCAGCAGTAATCAATAATTATACAGCTTACTTTTAATGCTTGTCATCCACCAGTAACCCTCCTACACTCTGGACCAGGGTCAGGTTACATCTACACAATAAACTAATGTAAACACTCACCTACAGTCATCACCAGTTTGTGGAAGAATGGGTTGCTGCGTGTTTTGTTAGTGCTTTCTGCTCCACACCAGTACGTCCCAGTGTCGTCTGTTGTTACTTCTCTCACTGTTATGGTGACATTTCTCTTCTCTTTGTTCTCCTTCATGGAAAACTTCCCAGTGTTCTTGTTGCGCTGTGCGGTGCTTACTAGAGGTTGACATATAGATGGATCTTCTCCCTTACAGATGAATTTGTTTATCGGAGCACCATTTGGATATCGACACCAGTATGTCAGATTCTGTCCAACAGTTGGAGAACGTGTTAAGCTAGGTATATCTGCAGACAGAGACAGACACACAGCATCTTTTATCAGGGACTGTATTTAACAATATTTTTCAGAGACACCTTAATTATCTGTGTGAGTAAATCAAAGCTCAAAGTGTCAGATGTGTGCTGCTCACCTTTAACCTCCAGCTGTATCTTTCTGAGAGCAGTTCTGTAACTTCCTTCATGTGTTTCCACTTCACACCGGTAGACACCTGCATCACGTGAGGACACGTTACTGATGGACACGCTGAAGCCACTGTTGGTTTCTGTGAGAGTGAATGTCCCGTTTGACTTCAGACAGGATTTTGTTGATAAAATATCCTCACAGATTGAACCGTTCTCTTTGCAGAAGAACTTGTATTTGTTTCCTGTGTGATCACATGTGATGGTGGTTTTAGCTGTTCTGTACGCAGTTTGAATAAATTGTCCCTGGCAGCCGCCTGTCTCTGCAAATAAACAAGAAAGGTAAAACATGAAATCTAACACTGTGATAATGTGCTAACACATGATGTAAATGCAAATCACCACACTCATACAGTAAAGTGTGAATCATGTTACATCTGCTTTAAGTGGGATTTGATCTTTACAGTAAAACTGATTTCCATTTTTGTTTAATGAGTACATGATGCCTTAAAACAGAAAGTGACTACTGAATGTGGAGTCAAAACACTTTTATATTATATTTGAAATAATGGCACCAAACCTAAGATGTATCCAAGCTGAATTAAATCTGATATCAACAATGTCTTGATTCATATGTGCCTATACACATAAAAACAAACAGAAGATGTTTCTGAAATGTCATTAAATTCATTATTTGCATTGAGTTGTTATTATTTTATATGTAGGGCAAACCAGGTATGGTTGAAACACTTTTTGCTTCAGCAAGTACAACTGAATTTTGGAGCTAGAGTTCTTGTTCACTACAAATGGCACCAACTAAATCCTCTACAAGAATATCACAGACCTCGTGAGGTGATTTCAAATGCATTGTGTTCCCTTTTTACAATCTACTCCAAAACCAGGGTAGGTTGTAACACATGCTAGGGTAACAATAAGACAAAGGAAGCAAAAATAGATGCCACACTATATGATATGCTTCACAAATAGGTAGTGATATAAAAGAACAATGTTTCTCTCACTGTCACAGACTGTCTGATGTCTCGCACGCATGTACAGTATGTGTATGTAAATTTGTCTATAGAATAAACTTACTTAACAGAATACTTAATAAACAATACTAAAATGTACTTAATTGAAAAACATTTGTACATTCTTGTACAGAGACTGCAAGGGAATTCTGTAAAATATTAAAATCAAGAAAGTCCCTAGTTGAATGTAAAGCACTTTTTAAAGAAGTGTTACAACACATTTTACAGTGAAGTCAGTGCTCTCTGGTGGACAAACTGTAATGTACACCATGCGAGTGTTAGTCAGTTCAGAGCAAAGTGCCCACAGACTGTTGTACATTTTCCATTCTAGTGAAACAGTAGGCCTACTTTGTACTCTACTTTGCTACTAGTGAGTTACAGTAGTGGACTGTATTGCGGGCTGTGTTATACTAAACTAATACAAAATGAGAATACCTCAAACCAGATCAACCAGTTAATTATTTTAGAAGCAGGGCTGTAACAAGTGTAATCTCTAAGATCAGTAGTCCAATAGTAGCAAACGTTTTACCTGTCATCAGTGAGAGTAGGAGAAGAAGAAAGATCTTCATTTTGTTGGTTGCTGAGATCCTCCGCGAGACAGGTTTTCTCTTGTTGGTTGGTCTCCTGTATCTGCACAGCTCTATTTCCTGAAGGTATATCTTATGATACCTAAAAACTGCTCCTCAATATTTCATCTTCCCCTTTTATCTTTCTTCTTTAAGTGTTAGTCACATCTCCTCCCACTTTATACATTACTTCATTACACAGTAAATAGAAAATTACTTTAAAGATAGAAAGTACATGTTTCCTGTTAGAAAGTCCCTGATACACCATGGAATATTAGATCTCAGAAATAAAGGTCAGGTCAACAGGTATCACTTTTATGAGCTACAAACTGTGAAAGGGTACAACCTCATCATTAATCATGACCTGCTTCAGATTAAACAAGTAAATTATCTGCTTCATAGATCATAATTGTACACAGTTTCAATAAAAAACATGTTACTTTTTCATTCCATCTTTTTTAAAACAAAGCTATTTAATTTAACCTGTGGATGTTAAACCTTTTGGGCAGTAGTAGTTCATTCTGAGGGGGCTTGGCTTGGGAGGGTGCATGGTTCCGGTTCAAGTCCAGCACGGACTATCTCCTGATGGAAATATTTGACTCTTTTGCTGCTAAATTCTCGACTGTATTTCCCAGTTAGCCTCTAACTGTGTCTGTCTGCTGTTTGCTGCTCAGCAGATAGAGCACAGAGGCCTTTTAGAGCTTTTTCACTAAACAAAACAATGATCTGAAACTCACTATAAAGCTCTGTAAAGCCGAGGGCAGCTGCAGATTCAGCTGATAATTCTCTGTAGGTTCATCAATACGAGTAACATCTTTCATGTTGTCTTCATATCATATAAAAATGTTGTTTATAGCCTCTTTAATTTATAATTTCCAACAACAACTAGAGGGAACCTTCCCACACGGTCTTTGTGTATCAGGAAATAAAATTAAGTAGTTTTTAAGTGTCAGATGGTGTTTAGCATGTTAATGGCAGGAGATACAGCTCTGTTAGAACCAGAAGCTGTTATAATCTAACTAAGCTTCACATACAAATATGGGGAAAACAGCAGACTGATGACTGTTGAGGATGTCTTTGTTGTCGTGTCTCTCGCTATTACATCTAAGTGTTGCAATGAGACCTCTACTCTTACAAAGAAGAGCTATTTAAGACCAACAGGATGCAAACCACAGGCCCATTTCAGTCTCCACCCACAACCACATGAAACTACTGCTGATGGGATGTTGAAATTATATTATTATATTCATAAACAGGTTCTCATGTTTAATCAGCTTTGATTGTTACATTATTTCAAATGCATGAATCTGCAGAATTTTACTGCTTTCAGTTTTCTGTTGTTAAATGATCTTATGGCTTTTGGACTTATTGCAGTAGTGTAATGTGTTACTGTTTTATTTTTAGTAATTACAGTAACTGACCTGCTGAAATTAGCAGCATTACTGCTATTCACATAATTAAACTGAACTGAATTAACACGTGTCAGTATCTGCCTTGCCTTGGTTTGTTAAGTTTTTTGTTGGCAGAAAGTTAGTATAACCACCTGTAGAGTACTCTGGCAACAAGGTAGACTTGGCTCAACCTGCCAGACTTTAACAGGAAGATCCTCTCCTTTGTAACAGGAACTCTGTTTCTGCTGTTTACCTGGCACAACCAAAGATACAATATTGAAGCTGTGATCATTTTCAAGTCCTCTAAGATCTTCAGTTAGATACTGTAAGCCATCAAAGTTTTGGACATCTAGTCAAACTGCGCTGGATACTCTCTGGCACCTTGAACAATAAGCCCCCACTTACACACAGGCCCTGCATTGTTTTAACAAAGGCTGCAAGTCTTACTTTGTCGTATAGTGTCTCCTTGTTCAATAACAAGAACTCATTCAACAAAACTTATTTAGGAAAGCTTCACACTCTCTGTGCCAGAGAATTTGGATTAATAAACTGTAGTTTGTAATTTATCCTGCTGTGCGTACTGTGTTAGTAAGAAGAGAACAGATGTGTATTCAAATGATTTATGCTGTTGTCTTTGAAGTGCAATGGGACTTGAGTGGCTATGCATCCATCCATTCATCCATCGTCAACGTCTTATCCTGCGTACAGTTGTAGCCAATCCCAGCCGACATCGGGCGAAAGGCGGGGTACACCCTGGACAGGTCGCCAGTCCATCACAGGGCCACAAACAACCAGTCACACTCACACCTAAGACAATTTCAGAGTCATCAATTAACCTAGCCCGCATGTCTTTGGATGGTGGGAGAGAACCCACGCAGACACGGGGAGGACATGCAAACTCCACACAGGAAGGGCTGGGACGACCAAGGTTCAAACCCACGACCCTCTTGCTGTGAGGTGACAGAGCTAACAACTGCACCACTGCGCCGCCTGTGGCTAAGCAGTAGGGTTATTTATTTGAAGAGGCAGGGCTCTGAGTCATTAGGTTCGAATCATACTGAACATCCTCGGTCAGATTATAATCTCCAGTGGTTTGCTCTACTGTCTGCACGTTGTGTTTCATTCTATTTTAGGTCATTTAAGAAAAGCATCTTTCAATGTATTTTGATGGCATGTTTTTCTGTATATAGGTGTTGTTGAAAAAGGTGGCAGCATGCAGTGCCGACTCCCACAGTGTCAGTCTGGAAATTTACCACCAGATGGAACTAAAGTAACAAAAAGTCAAACCCTGAACACAGTAAATTTATAGGTTTAATTAAGAGACTATTATACTGGTGTGGTGATTAATGAGTATCATGGTACTGTCTTTTTGTACTGTATCATATGAAGCATAATACATCTCATTTCATTAATGCTTTTTCTTTAACTATACTAGGCTGATGAGAAAGTCATCAGTTGTGCAGGTATTTTGGTCATAAAGTATTGGAAAAATAAATATTACCAAAATAATTCATCCTGAGGGAGACATACAGTAAATGTCAAGATGTCTGAACCAAACCTTATGGCAATCCATCCAAGAGTTGTTGATGTATTTAACTCAAAACCACAAATGTCAGTCTCAACGTGGCTCGCATCAAACATAAATCTTTAAACATTTCTTGTCACTCATTGTCCGAAACAAACAATTATACCAATATACAGTCAACATATAAACTTTAACAGCGGAGCAGTAGAAAACATCTTGACTGGAAACATCACCAACTGGCACTGGATGTGCACGGCCCAGGCTCTGCAGAAGATAAATGGTATCCATCTACTGTGCATCAGTGATATCTGTAAGGTGCCTTCAGAGTCTAAAGGATACTAAAAGAGAGCACCCACCCAGCCACAGTTGCTGTCTGGAAAGACAAACAGAAGTGTCCAGACTACTTAAATTAATCCTCAGCTCTGCATCCCTGTTGTATGATGAACAAATTTACCTTGTACAGTATCTGTGATAAATTAAATCAGCTAATAAGATAATAAACAGCTGTAATATGAACCACATCAGAAATGAATGACCTGAAATATTGACCATACATGTAGTAAATGTCATAAATTCCTGTCAAGGCTGATCTTTGCTCAGTGCTGCTGTGGCTTGTTGACTGTTGTGTAGAGAGGATCCTTTGAAGAGCTGGACGGCTGGTTGACTGTACAGTAGGATGGATTTTGCTTCATAGTAGAATATTCTCAGGCAGAAGAGCTGGGTTTGAGGATCACTGCCTCACCACAATCTTTGTCAGAGCTGCTTTGAAAGTTGACAATAGAGTAATACGGCGAGGCAGAGGTGTTTGTGGGAAAGTTGGCATTGGCATAAATCGTGTTCATCTTATTTCCTGAGTCTGGAGTCTGGACGGGCTGCTGTATCTCCTCGTAGGCATAATCCTTAAGAGTATAAAACATGCATAGTGAAACACTCACACATCTATGTGATAAAGTGATCACTTGATAAGGGCTCTGATTGATGCTGCTACAGTTCTGCTGTCACATCACTGCAGGATGCTGCTCTGAAGATGTGCAGGAAATGAAAATGAGCACAAATAGCAACAACATCAGTTGATCTTACTGCATATTGAGTCTGTCAGTGACAGGATATCACAACTGACTGCCATTTGAAAAATAAAAGAAATGCTTTTTCAAAGTGGCGAATTTTATAAAACAAATTACAGAACTGAATGAATAATAAAGTGCTATATGTGTTTATTCCGCACTTTTCAATTGATTTTTGCTTCCGATAAAAGCACAGATGGGTTTAATTCCAGCATTGGGAAAAGGTGGTGTAACTGCTTTTTGTCTTTGTTCTTTTACACAGTGTGAAGAAAAGATTTGAATCCAAACATGCTTCTAAACCAGCGGAACTTCCTGAGTGAAATGAGCTCTCACAGAGAAAATCAGTACAACCTGGACTTCAGAGAAGAACTCTCTAATAAGACAACAAATTCCCCTAGATGACTTTTCAAAAAGAATTTGAACATTGATGTCTTACTAAAAAACTATCAGCTGTTGAGTGGGCCATATAGCCTAGTGGTTGGCTGTTGTCTGTGCACAAGACCTGGGTTCAATGCTCGGTGGGTCCAGAGATTTTGTTATTGTTGATCGAGCCTCTCTTTTTGCAAGTGCTATCCGCAGTCCAGCTGGTCATATTTGGTGGCGTGAAAAAAAAAGTTAGTTGGGATTATGGTGAAAAATTCTTACAGACTAAGAGATCAATAAAGGATCGGAACCCACAACCTCACTGAATTCTCCCAGGCAGTGACGAGGTCAGGGTCAACTGGCACCAGGAAGCCACACAGATACAGATCAGTGTCGCGTTGACCAACAGTCCTTCCAATAGTTCTACTCTCGCTGTTAACAAAGAGAGGACTCAGTTTCACCTTCATCTACCTGCAGGGAATGAACTTTACAAAAGTCCAAATTGCTGTCCTGGATCATTTGTTCCGTTGAAGTAGATCCAGCTGAAAGCACAGAGTTGTAAACAATGATTACATTTAGAAAGACAGACAATTTACAGTATTCTGACCATAAACGAGAATTGTGGCTTAAATAATGTTAAATACAATTTTTCACATGTGGGCCTAAATTTACTTTAATGATGCTGTTAAGTTGCTTTGGATAAAACCATCTGCCAAACTGGTAAAAGTACGGAAGCCCTAAGTGGCCATCCATTCAACTATTTATTTTACTTCGTATTCCCGTGATGACGGGATAATCTTCTCGTGATCTTGAGATAACAAACCATAGCTGAATACACTGTCTGTGTTTCATTAGGGTAATTTCAGGATACTTTATAGTGTGATTGGTTATCTCAGTTGGTAGAGCAGGACTTGTTATACAAGGATTGCAGGGGCCTTTACCACAAAGCGAGATATGTTTTCGTTATCTGGCTTAACTAACCCTAACATACAAATCGGGATAAGCGGTACCACGAAGCTGGTTATCAACTCGGTAAGTCAACCCAGGGTTTCCCAATTCAGCCGTGAGCGCGTTCACATAAAAGAGGCGGTGTTAGCAGCAGATGACCTATCATAGACCTGAACAAGTCCACTGTCAGCAGAGCATCATATTTTATGAACGAGGATTAAACTGTAACACTATGACAATAGCACGCCTGCATCTGACACATGCAGGGAGACAGAAAATCGCAAACAGTGTAAATGCCTAAATAAACAGGCGTAGGTGTAGTATATAATATTGCGTTGATCTAAAGTTTTATTGTGAGGTGTTGAAAATATCAGCCTTATTCTTTCAGCTCGGCTGTGTGTCGGCACTTCCACATTAAAACTAAATAGATAGCCTACGTTCATATTAAAAATTAGTATTTGAATACGCTATCCCTACCAAACTGCTCATAATATTCAGCCTCACATAAGAAAAATAAAACCTATTTATTTCAACTGCTGCGTCAGGCTGTGTGAAATGAACTGGGAGAAAAAAAAAATTTAAACATTTCAAAGCAGTAAGTAGGCTTATCCTGCTGTACTGTAAAAACCTGGAGGCAACAGTAACCTAAGGCTTTTAATCAGTCTCTGTAGGATAATGTCGCTATAGTCAAGAGTTTCTCGCTGCTGCAAACATAAAGCAGCCTATTGGCTAAAACAGTCTGTGGGATTTCCTACAGATGGTGATGTCATTTTCCAAGAGAACTGATTGGTTAGTAGGCGGCGTTTTCACAGAGTTAATCTCTTATGTGGAACATAACCTGCTCCGGACAATAAATCACAACAAGAGATCTACACCGGTATGAAGTGAACCACCTTTGCGGTACTGAAAACCCAGGATTAACCCTGAAGTTACCTGGATAAGCTCAAATCCTGCTTCGTGGTACAGGCCTCAGGTGTGTCTCCTCTTCTCACTATTTGTTTTCAGTTGCTTTGGTAAATTTCTCGAATCATCCTTAACATTTGCAAAACAGTTAAGTGCATTTCTCGAAACAGGTAGTACAAACAGCACAACACAGTGGTTTACCTGCAAAAGCCCTTAACTTGCTCAAAATCCTTCTATCTCTCAAAAGTAAATATTTAGGTCAGTGAACTTGTCAGAGCCACCAGGATGACAAGTCCTTGTGTCATTGTTTACGAACTAGATAGTCAAAATGTTTAGCCATGTTGTCAATATAACAGTGCAGTCTGTCAGTATTTTCTGATTTACAATGTGGAAAAGGTTTTGATGACAATGATTGAAAATGCACACGGTTGCACATTTTCTGTATGACACATATCACTTTCACCAGTACAAAGTTATACATTGCAGGAAACAGGACAGCAATCCCAGTTACGCTTTAACTGTTCATACTGTAATTTGTTGACAAAGCATGTCATTGTGATACAGAAAAGAAAAGGACTGGACTGTTTTACAGCATTGCATAGCACAATGGTAAAAATTACAAAATTAGCCCTAAGAGGCCATCCATTCAAATATTTATTTTACAGGATAATTTTTTGTTTGACATACCAAACCATACTTGAATACAGTGGTCGGCAGGTGTGTTTCTTTAGGATAATTAATTAGTAAAATATGTACTTGTAATCCAGAGATTGTATGTTCAACTTCTGCTCTCAGAGCTTCTTTGTTGTTCTTTATGTGTGTTTCTTCAATCATCCTCTTTAACAAAGTTGTTATGAAGTGATTCAGAGGAATCCAATCAAACATTTACCGACAGCTATTACAACGATTCTGAAATAGCCGTCGGGTTTAGGGTTTCCATAGGATACACCTCTTTGGCTGACGGTCATGTTTGTCGTGTCACAGATTCTCTTCCACATCACAACAGATATTTTCAGCAATTCAGGACACATTTACCAAAAGAAGTCTACATGGATACAATCTCTCTCTCTTTCTCTCTGTCTCTCACATTTCGTTCAACAATATGAATAAAGTTTGACTTTATTTAACATTAACTGATTTTTGACAACGTGGTCAACCGCTTTGCATTTATCGACTTTTGCAATGAACTTATGCCAAGATGTTTTGGGGTATAAGACTCTTCAACAGAGACTGGTATAATAGATTGTGATCAGCATGACATTAGCAATTGATAATGTAGGTAACAGCAGACAATTGTACATAATCATTTGCATCGATGTGTCAAAGCATTGGCAATTTGTTCAAAAGAATGAGAAATTGCTTTTTATGATGTGCACAGGTGACGAGATGATGTGGAGGTTGAACAAGTAGTTTTGAGAATTTCTATTCTGATCTGAGAAATGTGCCAAGGTGATGCACCCATAGTTACACAGGATACTGCACTAGTGGAGCAAAAGAATATGGTCTTATTTAGATATTCAGCATGCTAAAGGTTGTTACTATTTGTACACTTTTAGGTGATAGTTGCATCTTTCAATTTATTTTGATGACATGTTTTCTGTGGAAACAGGTTGTCTTGGTGAAAAGGTGGCAGCATGCATTGTCATCTCCCATAGTGTCAGTCATAATATTGGCAGCAGATGGCACTAAAATAAAATAAATCAAACCCTGCATATACAGTTAATTCAGTGTAAGAGATAAAATGAAGAGACTGTTACTGGTGTTGTAAATAATCAGCAACATTTTACTGACTGTTGTTTGTACTGTATAAAACACAGTATGACACAAAACACATCTCATTTCATTAAAGCTTTTCCTTCTACTATACAAAGCTGATGGGTTATTAGTTGTGCAGATATTTCGTCATTAAGGATGGACAAATAAATGTGATTTGATGATGACACCAGATGAAAACCAAAGTTATTACTTTTCATCCTGGGGGGGACATAAAGTAAATGTCTGAACCAAATTTCATGGCAATGAGATATTTCACTCAAAACCACAAATGTCAGTCTCACATCAAACGTAACTCTTCAAACATTTGTTGTTATTCATCGTCCAATACAAACAACAGTACCAATATACAGTCAACTTGTCAACAGAAAGCATCCTGACTGTAAACATCACTAACTGGCATGGGATGTGCACATCCTAGAACAGGACAGGAGGGCTCTGCAGTTTATTGGTACCCTTCTACGGAGCATCGGTGATATCTGTACGGTGAGGTGCTTGCGCAGAGCTGAAAGGATTCTAAAGGTACCCACCCAGCCACAGCCTGTTCACCCTGCTGCACCCTGATCCAGAAGTGTTGCACCACCAGACTACAGAGCAGCTTCTTCCTCCGAGGCTGGTAGACTCTTTAATTCATCCTCAGCACTGGAGCGCTGTTGTATGATAAAAACATTTACCTTGTACAGTATCTGTGATAAATTAAGTCAGCTGATAAGATAATAATCAGCTGTAATATGGTTGTAAACAACCACATCAGAAATGAATGACCTGAAATCATACATAGTAGTAAATGTCATGCATTCCTGACAAGGCTGATTTTTGCTCAGTGCTGCTGTGGCATGTTGACTGTTGCGTAGAGAGGATCCTCTGAAGAGCTGGACGGCTGGTTGACTGTAGAGTATGTTTCACTTTGCTTCACAGTAGAATATTTGCAGGCAGCAGAGCTGGGTTTGAGGATCACTGCCTCACCACCAACTCTGTCAGAGCTGCTTTGGAAGCTGATGGTAGAGTAATGCAGCGAGGCAGAGGAGTTTGTGGGAAAGTTGGCATTGGCATAAATCGTGCAGGACGTGTTCTCATTTCCTGAATCTGAAGTCTGGACGGGCTGCTGTATCTCCTCGTAGACATAATCCTACCAGAAGAATGGAAAATACAATCTGAACAAATCATGTTGAATCCATATAATAAGAACTGAACATACAAAATGAGCTCAACATTGACGGTTAAAATTCAAACAGGTCAATAGTTGGAAATCCATAAATTTACTGTGGTGTCATTTGATTTTACAGACTCGTGCAAAAATCAGCACGAGTTTGTACAATGCCAGGAGTAACTGATTTAAAAGGTGCTTTTAATAAAATAAAATGTATAAGAACAGTAGCTGTGTTGGTTGTCCCCGTGCCACACTAGCTTCTGACATGTTGTAATGTGTTTTCACAACTTCAACTTTACTTGAGATCTGTACATTTCAGATTTCAAACACGATTTATTTGTTTCTTGTTGAAACTACTCTGTAGTGGGTTTTGGATCATTATCTCTTGTGGAAACAGTATATTACTTTATAGGAGTGTTGTTTACAAGTTACCCTCCTGGGTGTCTGTTCAAAAGATTTCTAGAAAACTGGGAAGAAATGTTTTTGCCATTAGAGGTCGTTGTGCACCTGAACCTAAATCCAACCACTGTAACATAAAAGGATCCCCAAATGCAGCAGAAAACATGGATTCTTTTCCCAAACATAATTTTTAGTGCTGTTGTTTCTTTGGGAATAACTACATAAATACTTCTGAATGTCTGAATGAACTATTTCTGCATCAATAGAGTGTGAGGATGAGCTCTGCTGTAAAGT